GCGGAGGGGTCCCCGGCCACCCTGGCCGAGCTCACAGCAGGCGCATCGAAGTCGTGGCCAACGGCTTGTCCTTTTGGCACGGCTCGCAGCTCGCGGTTGACGCCACGCTCGTTTCCCCGCTCACACGTACGGGCGAGCCCCACCCGCGGGCTGATGTCGAGCCGGGGCGCTCTGTCACCGCAGCAGCGCGGCGCAAGCGACACGGCACGTACCCCGAGCTCCTCCGTGCCCGGCGGTGTCGCCTGATCGTCATTGGCCTGGAAGTGGGTGGGCGCTTTGGCACCGAAGCAGCCACCTTCCTGCGCCTGCTGGCCCGCCACCGAGCCCGCCACCGAGCCGCAGCGGCTCAGGCCGCCTGGGTTGCGCGATGGGCGGCACTCCTGGCCGTTGCGGCCCAGCGCGCGTTCGCATCTTCCTTGCGCGAGCTGCCCCTTGCGGGCGAGAGCAACGGCGATGATGCCGTGCCTGAGCTGCACGAGGTCCTGGCCGATGGCCGCTGGGATCGCCCCCCGCCCGCCAGCCGCGTGCCGCCGCGGCGGTGAGGCCCCTCCCTCCCCCCGCCCCCGCGAAGATACTCTGCGGAACAGGCGCGAGAACAAAAAAATTCAAGAAACGTAAAAAAACAACGGTTTTACCACCGCGACCACGCCGAAACCCGCAGAGGGTTGCAATCCCGATTGGCGATGTCAACCCAGCCAGCCGCCTTGGAAAGAGTTTTCTTTTTAATTTCGAAATTTAGGACTGGGTACGAAAGTATGCAATTCACTTTGTGCACTTCACTCTGTGCACTTGACTCTATGCACTTCACTCTATGCACTTCACGCTGTGCACTTCACTCTGTGCACTTCACTCTGCGCACTTCACTCTGTGCACTTGACTCTATGCACTTCACTCTATGCACTTAATTCACTCTATGCACTTCACTCTGTGCATTTGACTTTATGCACTTCACTCTATGCACTTCACTCTATGCACTTGACTCTATGCATTGCACTCTATGCACTGCGCTCTATGCACTTCACTCTATGCACTGCGCTCTATGCACTTCATTCTATGCACTTCACTCTCTGCACTTCACTCTATGCACTTCACTCTATGCACTTCATTTTATGCACTTCACTCTATGCACTTCACTCTATGCACTTCACTCTCTGCACTTCACTCTATGCACTTCACTCTACGAGTATGTTGTTGGGTCAGAGGGCTCCGCACGGAAATAGCCTTCGCGATGCTTTCGAGAAAAAAAGGACAGGCCGTTGGCAACGACCTCGACGCGCCTGTCGTCAGCGACGGACCGTTCATGTCGTCGACGCGGACATTGCGGGCGACACGCGCACCGGCCTCGCGGCAAACCCCACGTCGCATAACGGCACGCTCAAGCGGCTACGCGTGCGGCGGGTGCGCACGCGGCGCGCGGCGGTCCTGAAAGCGTCGAGCCTGCCACGACAGTTGCACGCGCCGGGGGCGAGCGGCAGGGGCAGGCGCGTTCGCCTGAGCGGGACACTGATGACTCGGGCGGAATGGCCCGCCTAATCACGCGCCTGATTCGCGCCGCGGGCCAGGGCACATGGCCTTGCACGGCATGGAGCAGCCGCTCCGCAGCTGCCGGGGCTAGGGCGTGGCAGCGCGTCACACCAGGATGCCCCATGCATGAGCGGCTTGCCGGAGCGGAACCCAGACCAAGCCCCCCAAACCGCAAGGCCAGCTGCGCCGTGCGCAAACTAAGGGCAGGCAGGGGCCAGCAACAGGTTTCCGCGCATACGCCTTGGTCTGGTGAGGGGGGCACGAGAGCATTGTGCAAGCAGCAGCCGAGCTGCAGCCCCGAAAGGAGTTGCTCGCGTACTTGGATGAGTTCAACGTCATCGCCGGCGAAGGGGCGTGCCGGGGACTGCCCGAGCGTCAATCGTTGCCTCCAAAGTACAGGAGCACTGTGGCATCACGTCCAATGTGGGCAATACGCGCGTGTACAACGCTGAGGGACCGAGGCTTGGCGAGGATGTATGGCGAAGCGAAAATGTTTTGGTCTCTTTGCAACAACGTAGCGAGCAAAGGCGAATAAGCATGAAAAGAAATGTTGCATACGTCTGTCTGCCATGTTTTGGACCGCCGCCGCTGAAAAACAATTTGTCACAACGTGTTGTCTTGAACATCTCGTCGTGCTAGTTTGTCAGAAACACCCTTCGATGTGCCAAAGCTTCACCACGCTACTCACACTACGAAGGGCGACTGACGTGGTTGGACTTGCTGCCGAGCTCTTGACGCATTGCTTCATGTTTGCAATCAAATCCTCGTGACGGGTGATGTGCCTGCGAGGCGACCGACCTTATGTCAGATGTTGCCTAAACACACAAATGCGAAATCAACAGTGAGTTGAACAAGTTTGTAATGTCGCAGTTCCCTGGATGTAGTTCGTGGTCTGATGTAGCTCATCTGCCAAGATGGCCGTCAACAAGACATGATTTTGTAGAGTTTGACACGGCCTCGCAAATTGATTAGCTCGTAACCCCTTGTCCTGAAAGGACCGTAGTCTTCGTGAGTCGAACGGGCAAAGTGCAAAAGTGCAAGTGCGAAATCAACAGCCGATTTCAGACCAATTGCTTCCTTGAATCCCCAAGTCTTGACAACATGTGACCACTGAGGCTTTGATGCTTAGATTGACACGGGATGGATTGGGAGGCGTGGACTGTTTTCATGCCTTGGGAGTCCAACTTGACCAGGGGTCGATGAGGAGCTTCGTGTTTTTCATCAACGAAAGGGTCGGGAGCAAGGAGAATGTTTTCCGTGGATAGTGAGTGAGTGAACGAGTGCTGGCTCACTGCACGAGGTGGCACGTGCAGCAGCCGTGCCTTTGGCGCTCTTCTTCGGGAGCTCCGCAACCGTCATTGCCCCCTCCACTTGGCCCCAACCCCAACACAACGCTCTGAGGTCGGCAAACCCGGTTAAGCAAGAGGGTTTTGTCCACCATTTTGCACGGAACCACAACTAGGCAGGCCCGCCACCGGAAAACCGGCATAAAGGCAAGACAGCGTGCCATCCTCGCTGAGGCCCATGCAAAAAAGCGCTTCCCCCGAAGATCCCTCTTCAAGGTACTAAGCCAGGCAGACAACATCGCCTCTGCGTTGGGCAATGCGCAGCCGCGTGCTAAAGCAGCAGGCACACTTCTCCGCAGAGCCCTCTACGGACTCTACGGATACTACGTGCACAACGCGACCCATGCGCTCCGGGGACTCACTCATTCACCACCGTTTCCTGCGAAAAGGGGAATGGCAGGCTCGGGCCATTCACCTGCAAACAGGTCCCTGTCGCTATGCCCTCGAAGTAGAGGGGTGAAGACCAAATCTCCGGTCACCACCCACCCCGGACGAGGGGGTTTTCCGTGGATAAAAAAGGTTGAGCTTGATTCGGAGGAGCCGCTGCACACGAAGACCGTTCTTCATGAGGTGGTCCGACAAGAACTTCAGAAGTGGAGCCAACTGAAGACATTAACTTCAACAGGAGGCAAGTTGGACATGAGGTTCTGGGATGAGCTGACGTTTTTCGTCATTTTGTTCAGCAACCGCATCCCTGGGGTTCAACCCCGCCACCCTCAGCGGGATCAGGGCCGGGGCTTCCGCATCTACTCGGAAGGATGGCCGTAGAACAAGCGAGCCAAAGGGAGCAATTGTCAGAGCCACTTCCGTCAAGGCACTTAGGAAAAGCGCCCTGGAAATCGTTTCGTACGCACTGCGCCCATCAAGCGCGCTGCCAGTGCATCCGTCCCGCTTTCGCCTGCAGCGCGTACTGGACGGCGTCGAATACGCTGGCCCATTGTTGGGCAATCGTGCGCGACACGAGGCGTCGGAAGACGTCGCCAATCGCAATGCCTCGAATGGGCCCCCGCAGGCCGGAAGGTGCAAGCTGTACAGGCGGCGCCTCGGAGGGATTGCGGCCGGAAGTGGAGGAGGATGAGCTGAGGAAAGTGTGCCCTCGTTGTTGACCTTCGAGATGGCTTTGGAGTAGTCCCTGTAGGTCTGCAGCAAAGGCCGGTCCACAAGATCATCGTGACTCATCGAACGGTGGCGCGCAGATGCAGTGCAGGGCAACGGAATACTTGAATAGCAAACTGGAGACTCCTGAGGTTCAGAACCACGCCACACACGCCGTGACCATGCTGCAAACGAATTTCCGCCAAAGCAGCCATGCCCCTCGCATCACTTCGGGGTTCCGCAACTGGCGAGAACGTCAGCACCACACAATGTCTGGCACGAACAGTCGCTGCGGATGTGCCCGATGTACACCGGGAACCGTTGTGTCCAGGGACAAGAGGCGATGGCCACCTCATGATCGGCAACTGAGGCGAGAAATGCCTGCTGCGCAAAGCAAGAAGCCTAAGACCAAAGCCTGACCCTCTTCCGCACGTTGCTCCAAGCTTCGCCTTGCCTTGGTTCTCCCTCGCTCCCTCGAACCATGTCGATTTGGAATCCTGGGCACCTCCCTGCAGGGAGGCTGGCGACACGGTTACCCGACACGTCCGCGTGCGCGGCTGAAGTTGGTGATCGATGGACCTCGAAGATTGCCTCTGCATGCATCTTTGTTCAAGGCATTTGTGTCGCTCCCGTCGTCGCTGAGCCCATGATCGTGCCAGACCGCCGTCGCTCGGCCCCCGCTGTGCGATGGTCTCGACCGATATGGGGACATAGACGGCTCTCAACCCGCCGATTTCGGTCCACGTCTCCTAAGGCTCCCAGCAGGAAATTGCTTTGGTTGTCCCTAACATTTGTAGCAGGTGCGCTCTTTTGTAGCAGGTGCGCTCTTTTGCCTCGCCATCAGCTGGGAGCATTAATGACTCGCCACGATGGGTCACAGCAGAGGCATCGCGAATAATGACACATTACCTTCTGGCACGGGCCGGGAAGGCTCAGCAATGATTTATTGCTTCAAACAATTTTTTTACATGTCCCACTCACAAAGCCCATGTTCGGCGCTGTGAACAGGGAAGTGCACTAGCTGATGGCGGTGTCTCAGCACAGCTTGTGTGTGCCCTCATCGTAGGTGCTCGGGAAGAGATGAGCCACACGCAGGGTCATCTGGACAAGGTACAGGTACGTGAAATCTCTGAAGTTTCAAGGTCCGCAAGAGCAGCCTCGCCTCGCTGTGAGGCATCGAAGGCAGCTTGCCGGACACCTGGAAACAGGATGCTGCAGCACATCTGCCGAAGATTGCAAGAAGCTTTGTGCCTCCTCCCAGAACGATCGCTGCCTTGGATCCATCCTGGCACCGGCTTTGGGAAAGGCAAAGCCAAAGAGCCACAAAACAAAACAAGGAAGAACACTAAGTCACTAGTGCAACAAGGTCGGTGTTCCACACGCACATGTACAGATGCTGATCTCTGTTGGACGTACTCGACCAAAACTCTGATCGCTTCCTCTAGCGGGGCGTGGAGAATATATTTATGCTGCGTCTCTTTTTCCCGCTTCGGAGGATTCTTCCAGTTCCAAACAGACATGCCATGTTTCATATCCGGCCCTCGCCACATATTTGGCTTCTTTGCAAGTTTGTACATGTTATTCAGCTCGATTCGGTCTCGGGCTCACATCCAGCAACTTTCTTGTTGACATGACGGCGGCGCCTGCTCCAAACTTCCTCTGGAGTCAACTTGTATTGCTGCAACACGTTTCGAAACCTGGCATCAGTCGTGTGTTGAAGCGAAACAGCTACCAAAAACCGTATCAAAAGAGGCTACGTCTTGTGACAAGGCAGCGCCACTCCGTATTGAAGACTCGGCGTCCATCTGGGGAACCTGCTCAAGCAGCTGCGCGACGAACAGCGCTTAAGAAGCGCTGCACCTACCTTCTGGGTAGCGCTGTCGAAATTCCATCCTTGACAACCGGAATGTGCAAACACACTACATCATAAATTCCAGACGCAGCAGCCCATCCTTTCGCAAGGCCAATAGTCGAAGCCATGCAAAGATTGATCGACAACAACGAAGTGCCCCACCTTTGCGCTATGCTCAACTTCACGTTTGCTTTCCACACAGTTACTATCGAAAGCTCTTACCTCAGTGCCGCGAGTCTGGGTTTGCCAACCTGTGGCCAGCATTGACGCATCTTCAGCAATGAAGACCTCACAGCATTGGAAGTTGCCGTGCACTGACTCCATGAAGCACTGTAGGGCGTAGAACAAGAGTAGGCGCAAGCACGTAGCCCCTTGTTCAGCGATTGGAAACATGTGCTGCGGTTTGTTTCCTAATTTGCTTGAACTTTCCGTTATTGTTCAAAACAGGTTTTGGACCAATGAAGAAGACTTTCTTGAACACCCCCGTGCAACTTTAAGTCGCAACGCTCCGAGGTCCACTCTCACGCAAGTGAAAAAGCTTGGAGTTAATTTCGCAGAGCGACTTGCACATTTGCAGTGCCGGCTCAAGGCACGATCTGGGATTGCGAGTAAACTCATATGCGTTGAAAGCAAGCTTGCCCAGCTTAAAAACAGGGGGAGCACAGTCACCCCCCCTCCCCCCCATTTGCAAACAAAATGCTCGCATCATGCATTTGGAAGGGTCCGAAGATTCGTGAGCAGCTTGGCTGCCTCAATAGGGCCGAGTCCTCAACGTGTATGGGATACCATCCGAACTGCACGCAGCAGGGGCGCGTCTCTATCCGCTTCATTCCGCGCAGCATCCCCGTGGTCATCACGCTGGCATGTACAGTTTCGATTGTGGCACACCACCACGAAACAGGGCAGAAAAGAGATGAGAATAGGATGCGATGTCGGCACACATCAACCCAAGCGCGCACTGTGCACTCTGACAGCATGCCTCTTCATCATCTTGGCTGCTCAGGCTAGCGGCCGGATGACGGGCACGTTCTCCCACGAAAAGTGCCGGACGACCGAGTAACACGAACATGCAGGGCAGCCGCCAGACACCCCAAAAAAGCCAAAGAAGAGCCTTCTCGCACGGAAAACGCCAGGGCACAACTGCCATCTGCACACGGTTGGTGTCGGACAATATGTGAGCAGCAACGCCGTCGTCACTGAGCGTGGCAAGCTTGCGTGAAGGTCACGTTCCATGTGCAGCAACTCAAGACTGCAACGTGGGTCAGAAGGATGCGTCACGCCCAAGCCACAGGTGCTTCTGCGGGCACAATTGCTTCGTGGCAATTGCTTTGGGCTCGTTTGATTTATGGAACTTCGACTAGTTGTAGGACCACGGAATACACGGTCACGCCAGTCGCCGTGGTCTGCCTGCTTAACGTGCTAAACCTGCTACCTTTACATAAAATTAGGGCTTGAGTGTTAGGGTCAACTGCATTGGCGCTTTTCCAAGATGGGGCGTCCTCTCGCATTCAATTTGATTCCGTGCGACACAAACGTGCTCCCTGTGACTGCATTTATGCATTGTGTAGTGTCGTGCCGGCCTGTGTGTGCACGTGTCTCCCTCCGGGTAGCCAAAAGTGCGCACCCTCCCATGTAAGATGCCGCGTAATCAAAACGCACATGGAGCTGAACCTTTCAATTCAGCCTCCGGATTCTCGTAAGTAAAACTTTCAATTCTCGACATGTTCGTGCCGACGGGTCAATTACCGTCGTGCGTTTTGCACACTTTTGACTGCGGTTGGTTGGGGGTTTGGGGGGGTGGTGGAGGGGTGGGGGGGGGGTTTGGTTGCGCCTTGGTTGTCGCAGCTTCCAACCATTCCTAACTGGCCACTCGAACACTTCGACCGCCGTACCGCCTGTTAACCCCATTCCTTCTGTTCCTGAACCTGGAGCCTTCGCCACGGGGGGCTTTGGGTTTGGGGGGGGGGGGGGGAGTGGGGGGGTGGGGGGTGGGGGGGGTGGTGGTGGGGGGGGGGTCATAATAGCGTCGGTTCCTTGAGTGTCCACGTGTAACTGCTACGCATGCATGCACAACAGTTGTCAAGTCCAGGTATTTTCTCCCTTAAGGTGAAAGTGGCCACCGAAAGCTGGTACATGTGAATACGGGGGGGTTGATTTCTTTTGGACTTTTGGTATCTTGAAGAAAAGTATCCCGAACACCTTGCGCAGTCACTCAAAAGAGTGCCGATTCTCGAATCCTTGGAAATACGTCAGATCTTATCAATTTATCAATGGAGATGGGAGATTTGCTTTCCAGCACGGGCCATTACTTGGCCAGCTTGTGAACAGACGGACGTGCGCCAAACAAGCTTTCCTTCTTGCCCTGCCTTCCTCTAGCCCGGCAGAAGACACTCGTCAATCCTATACTCAGACCCCTGAACCCTAAACCTCAAACCCCCCAAGAGGCCGACCAGCACAAATCCCTTAGCTCTTCACCAAAGTCCCTGAAGCCTGCGGCCCCCCCCCCCCCGTTTCCTGGTGCTTCGCATACGGCCAAGAAGAACTGTGGACCGCAAAGCATTCAGGGAAGGGGTAAGCCCTATTTTTACGATATTGCTTTACGGGCAACAGCGTTTTGCATTGAAGTTTCGCATGCAAGCGAAATAACACCAAAAAAACACAAACATGGGGGGTTTTTCGAAAAACCACGTTTTTGCACCGTGAAACCACGAAAACATCGGCATACGCAGTGTTTTCGGCTTGCGAGCCACCTTCAAAACAAGACACGAAAAAAAGGCACGCGCGATCACCGAAAGTACCACGCCTGCCATGGTTTTCACAAAACGACCTCTGAAACTTGCACTTTTTTTGGGACCAAAACCACGTTCAAAATCGTGCTCCCGCCTAGGCCAAAGGCTTATTTGCAAAAAACGCACGACGGTTAACGCCCCGTGCGGATGTTCGTCCTACATGCGCATATGTACTTACGCTCAGAGGAGCTGAGCTACACACACACATGATCTGCCTGTCAACTCAGCCCTCGGCAATGGTAAAAGGCTGCCGAACGTGGCCGGCACCTAGGGGGTAAGGCCATGGTATGGCCGCTATGGAGAAGTAGCAAGTAGCACCCCACCCGTTCCGCGTCAGAAACACACCAAACCATCAAGTCATGTCTGAGTCTAGATCACACAGATGAAGAAGGAACCTTCCCAGCTTGACCTCATGGCCTGAGTGCTTTGACACCTTACATGTGTGATGCCCAACCAATGCGCGAGATATCACACCTACATCAATGTGCCGAATGAATCTGAAAGAGCAGGAATATCTACTGTCAACACACTAGGGCATTTTCGTGAGAGGTCAAGATTCATTGGCTCAACGCCTTGTAGGGACTTCTCATTGATTTGCTGATTTAATACCTGAAGCTCCATGCTGCATCGAAGGTGCGGAGAAGCGCAAAGCCACGGTCACAAGACCACCCAATGCCTGCCAAGAACTCCTTGAAAGACAACTCTGCGGACATTGCTGCTATGCTTGCCTGCAGACCTTCCAGAAGAGCTGCCGTCTCCTTCTAGGTGGGTCTCTGCCACCAGGAAGATCACAGCAATTCGCAACATGCCAACAACAACAGCTTGCAAAGGTCCGCAGTGCTTCCGTCGACGCGGATACCACTGAGCGCAAGCACCTCCAATGTTTGAACAACCGAGCAAGGTGTATCAAAAACTTTTCGGGTATTCAGCTCCACGCACGGCCTTCAACTTCATGGGATGGCGCAGGCTTCGTAAGCAAGCAAGCAAAGGTGCGGCCATCACCTACCCAGCGGGTCTAATAGGCAAACTGCTGAGTCCGTTCAAGACGGCTGCCTGCATCCTCTCCTGTCGAGAGGCCTGAGCAGCGGATACGCTAGAGTTCAAAGTCACTAAACGATGGTAGGTCCTGCTGAAATTGCTCATGTGCCCGGCTCTTTGCTCCCGAAAGTCACGGTAGCGCAGCATTAGGCACCTTACCACGAAGCACGTGCGAAAATCGATATCACTTCTGGCCAGCTTGGGATGGAGAACTTGGGCGCTGGACTCAAGAGACTGCAAGCCGGCCGGAGGCAAGGTAAGGGGCTGCTTTCGGCTTTCTGGACCTTGGACCAGATTCTGACTTTTGTCTGCGTCGACTCCAAGATTCTCCCAAAATCTTGCACGGGGGCGCACCTATGAAAGAAGCCCTGCAGACTCGCCTTGTGCGCGCGTACAGGTTCTCAACACATGTCTCACAGTGTCCCAAACTGATGCGGTCCATTGCTGCGACCGCGGGGCAAGCTCCTGCTACACGAGCCGGACAAGGCTGCTGTCAGAACCTGGCAGTTGTTCCCCGACTGCTGCCATGCTGAACATGCTGAAGATGGTTTTGAATAGTCTTCAAAACACTTCCTCGAAGACCTCAAGCGCATTTGGCAGAGCGAGGCAGCGGAGAAAGCTCTACCGATGTCTTAGGTTCTGTGCCTTCAAAAACACAAGAAACAACAAAGGGACCGCAAACCATGCAAACCTTCTTGGAAACTCTGGCCGCTTCTAGCCTCGGTGGATCTGAGATCAACCAGCACAAGCTCCTCCAAAGCATGTCTTGCCCAGCATCTCAGTCATCGCAGATCAAAACGTTCCAAATTACACGGTTGGAACTCTCTGGTGCGGGCGGACTCGGTCGTTGCTTCGGCATCCCTCTTGCTCTCATTTGCTGCGTCTGCCTGTTGCGAGCAGCAGGTACCTTCCCCCAGCCCTCAAGATGACAGGCAAAGATTTACCTCCCTCCGCCCCCTGTCTCGGTGCTGCCGTGGATGGGTGAGCCCCCTGGTTCACCCTGGTTCACCCTGGTTCACCCTGGTTCTCCCTGGTTCAGCCTCCTTCACCCTGCTTCACCCGGCCTCCAGCTTCTGAGAAACCTTCAACTCGCTCTTCCCCCCCACAGCGGTCTGCGAGTCGGTCTTGTCCGGGGCAAAATTGGGCTTGTGCCGAGTCGCACCTTGAAGTAGCCACTGTGTTGTGTCACCAATATCGGTTGCAGGCTGCGGTTCATTTGCAGGAGCACTCCTCCCATTCACGGTGTTCACATCCCCTGACTCGGACCTGTGAAAGTATTGCAGACAGACCTGTGAAAGTATTGCAGACATTTGCGGATGGCTGCACCGGGTTCTTTCAGGCTTGCCCCTGCCTCTCAGAGGTGTGTGCCTCCTTGAAAGACTTTTTCATGAGCCTTTCATAACTTTAGCAGGGACTTCTTGCCGACGTGTCCTGCAGCTGCGAGAACTCCAGCAGAGTTCCCAGCCTCAACCGCGGTCACAAAGCTCACGAAGCACAAGGCAGAGCAAAGCGCGGCGAAGCCCGTGAATCTAAACGTGATCGTGGTAAACTAGGATCTCTGCCGCGATAGCTGCGGGGAGGCAAGGTTCTGCCATCTTGGGACACGGCTCAGCTTCGGTTCGGCTTTGTCATGCTTCGTCTCTGGGAGCCCGACTGCTGCAAAGAAGTGACAGAGCGCTCCTGCAAAGCATCAAGGGATAGCCACATGCTTGGAGCATGCTTGGAGTGCTGTTGCCGCCGTGACGCCGCTGGAAAAGAGACTGCAAGTGATCGCAGGCCGCGAAGCCTCACGGGGCAAGAACCGATAGTGGGGATGCTCCTGAACACTGCTGAATGCTGACACCGTAGGCATATGGCCGCAGGCCTTAGGCCGTCACTGTACACAGTCGCCCATGCCTCCCATGCCTTGGCTTTGCTCCCACAGCGCCTTGGCAACCGTCAATGGTCCGCGGTCCGACCCAGGTCCGTCCGTTCCCAACCTGCAGCAGCCGTGCCCAGGCGGCGTTCCCCATGTCCTTCATTGGGCTGTCATCAACAATTCGAAACTATACTAAAGCAACAGCATGCAACAGTCAGCATCAGCATAACCCGATGCAATGAGGCGCTCCATAGAAAGCGTTTCCAAGCTTGGCCAGTACAATGAAGACGCCAACGCCTGTCTGAGCAGATCCGAGCAGGCATGAATCAATCTTGCACCTGCCTGGGCAGCGTGTGGTGAAAGGCTTCGGGCCAAGCCACACAGGTGGTGCAGCCTGGGTTGAAATCGCGGAAGATCCAGTTCATCACAGAGCCGAAGATTGAAGGCACTCAGGGGTCTGTGCAGAATCCTCGGCTTGTCCTGATCTTGCGGTCGCCAAGATTCACGGAGGCAAAACAAAATTTGAGGGCTTTGAGGGCTTTGAGGGCTTTGAGGGCTTTGAGGGCTTTGAGGGCTGTCCTCATCGCCCGCAAGCAAATGACCGATGCCTAGGCAAGCGAATGCGTCAAGCGTTGTTTCAAAAACACCGCGCGCAGCCCTACCAACAAGCTGTCTTCAAACATCAACGGGGGCAGGGCCAAGCTGCGCTGCCGCTGCCGGCGAGGCCGCAAGCCAGCGCCTGGGAGGCCAGAGAAAGACCGGAAACTCGAGAAACTGGAAACATGCTGCTTCGAATAAAACTGATTCTCGTCCAGGCTTGCTTCCCGCCCCTACAGAGTGCAAGCCTTACAAGAAAGACGAGCTTGCCCACGTGAGAGGGCGGACGAAACCCGAGAACTACTAGCACGCGGGAGTTGCAGCTTCCGAAGCAAGTGCCGAGGAAATGCAAGGTTTGGGTGTTGTAGTGAGTCTACAGTTCTTCTGCAAGTTCTGCTGCCGTTTCCGATGACTAATGAAGAAATAGCCCCTTACCGTGAAACCTTAAACCAAAGTGGATCCTGCCACTTGATGGCCGGACTCCATCAGATTGGGTCGCAACTCCACATGACGCACGCATGATCACGGATGCACAACTTTGACTTACGGCCTCTGAGAGCCAAACACAACATCAGGTGCTGCTAGAAACTGTGGCACCTAGCGAGCAAGGTGTCACCGCATGTCACTGCCCTCGAGGGTGCCCCGGGTGCTCTGGAGAAAGGCCAAATGAGGTCAAGGCTACACTTGCCATGAGCTGCCCAAGGGGGGAGGACGAAAGCCGTCGACGAAGCAATTCCCGCCGAATCCTGCAGAAATCTCTCAGTCACTGAGCAGCATGCCATGGAGTGCAGAATGGTTGTGGTCCTGCTCCGACGCTGCTCATGTCTTCGCAGCCTGCATCTGAAACAGCAGGGCCAGTGTGTCTTCTGCAAACATAGACACTTGATGCAGACACCGCATATGCCCAAACATGGAGGGTCTACTTGTCCCGCAGCTCTGCAATCTGGAGATTGAGCTCCTCGAGATCAGGATGCTTGATGAAGCACAACACCCTTGGTTTGCAGCTTTGTACAGGTCTCCTCCACCCTTTGCCGTTCTTCCACCTGGTGACTGGTCGAGTAGCTAAAGCAGCTAAAGCTGTTTTCCTGGGGATAGGACCTCGAGGCTGTCCAATTCCAACTCATTCAGCCCAACCACAGATGGAGAGCTCCTGCACAAAGGCTTAGCCATGCAGTTTGCAATCTTTTTTTCTCTGTCTGACTACCCCATGTTCTGAAATGCAATCGAAGCACTCAGCACTCGTCAGGAGCGCTGACTTGCCGCTGGATTCACAAACCTCACAGCACATGGAAGGCGGGGGCCCACAGAGCTCAGCTGCCAATGCACAACACAACGGCACGGCTGAGTACTCCACACTTGAGAATTCGGCTGCAACCATTCATGCAAGCATTGAGAATAACCGTCTTTCAACATACAATCCTAAACTAGGCTACGAGGCCCTATGCAGTCAGTCGTGCAGTCGAACAGAAGCGTCCGCAATTCACTCTAGCTTGCTGACTGATCGTACCCTGCTCTTTGCTCGAAAGGTCTGCAACAGCAAGCCTGACCATGCGCATCACTGTGTGCAAGAGAAGCATATGGCATTATCTGTCTCGTGTGCAACAAATGAGGGCCGCGGCCATCTTTTGTGCAACGGCCGCCAGACGTGCCGCCACACGTGCTGTGCCCTCGCAAGAACGACCTTGAAGCTACGGTGGCGACCGATGCCTGACAACACGCACCAGGACAGTCTCAATCATGTTTCAACACTCCAAACTGTGTTCAAAAACTTGCCAATTGACAGCCAGAGGTTCTTGGCGTAGATGCGCAAGGACCGGCGAGATTTTTGCCCATCCGGCCCTGATGCCCAGCCAAGACTGGGTACGAAGACGACGCGCCTTCCAACACGTGTGTTGCAACGCTGGGGCGCCCCTCGTTTGCAGCTGTTGGGGACGAAGGTATTTCCATGCAAAAGCCAAGCTTTCCATTCTGAAACTTCTCAGCACCCAACTCCTCATGCACACAAAATCCACCAAAGCCCAGGGGTGAGGCAAACAAGGCAAACCGACAAGACGCTGACCAACGAAAGGCCCGAAGAAACGTTTACACTCGGATCACATCCCTTGAGTTTGTCCTCAAGAAACGTAGAGTTCAGCACATGTGCTTCCAAGCAAAGGCGGCTATGGCTATGAATTGCAGGTGCCACACACAGAGTCCAGAAGTGAAATCACATGCGCCTGCCAGCAGACCTAGGACATGGCACAGCAAGGCGCAAACTTAACACAGGTTCGACTGTTGCGGCCCACACTGCCGAAAAGCAGTCAAAAGGCTGAAGCTGCGATGGCACTGATGCGATGGACTTGAGCGTCTCGTGCACGCTCTTGATATTCTCGGCAAACCTCGAGTAAAGGAACGGTCTTGACATCGTGTATGGCGCAGTGCCTTGCACAGCTTGCTTCCGTGAAATCCAAGCAGCACATGTATGGAGACGGCACCATGCTTATGGATTTCGCCACCGATCGCCTTCGACAGCCGAGAAGCCTTCGGCATGGATGCTAAAGCGTGGATGTGAAGGGCAGGCGTGCAATGTGGCCCAGTGCCGGAAGGTTATGACAAGGCCAAGACTCTCAAACACTGTATGGCGACAACATACTAAGGCAACCGCGAGTATACCTCCAAACAAGTCTCATGTAAGGCCATGTTAGGGCTTGCCGCCTCGGGTCGGTCCCCTGCTTTTAAGAGGGCGGTCTTCTGAAAGTCCGTGCTGTTGAAATCCCTCGGCATCAAAGAATTTAGCTTCGAGCATGCCGAGGTGTACCTGCAGTCTCCTGTCTGGTTGCGGCTGTGGGTCTTCCATGACTGTCCCGTTGAGACCAGGAGCTGAATGGCACGGGCAGCTGCTCCGGCAGCCGTTGTCGAGTCAACCCATCTTGCCTGACTTCGAAACATCCCCGGGGAAAAAAGGCACTGTAACACCTCCGAGTAACTCCGAGTCCTGAGATCTGGACCTCCACCTCGGCAGTGACTCCCCCCTTTAAGGACAAAGCCTCCAAGGCGTGCCAGGCCTGGGCTTGGGGCTGGCTTTAAACACACAGCGCGATGCTAAAAAGTTGGCTACTGTGATCCTCCAGAATTGTGGTAGTTTTCCTGAATTTATTGAGCTTCATTACATTGTCATGATGCACCTGAATCTGAGCAACGCCAAACTGATTTCTGAAAGCTTCCACACTAAAGAAGCCTGAGGACTTAAGCAAGCAGGCCTAAGGTCTCAGGCTGTGTCAGGATCACAAGTCTTCAGGCCAGCCCTAGACCTGAGACTCTCCTTTCAAATTCTAAATCGATTTGCAAGTGGGGGTGTTCCAGCAGCTTGGCCGATGCTGTATCAAAGTCATGACGAACACTTACAACATAAACCCTCAAGAAGGCTGAGGCCTGACGTAAGACAGGCATAAGGTCGGAGGCTGTCCAGCTCTAGGATCTCACGTCTTGAGGCCAACCCGATAACCAAGATTCGTTTGTCAAAAACCGCTGTAGCAGTCAGTTTTCAAAGCGGGGAGTCAAGCAGCTTCGCCGACACCGTGAGATACTAACGATTTGATTGGATCCACCGGAAGTATATGCGACTGTGGAAGCACCCTAAGCCTTAAAATTTCAAACGTAAATATACCTGAGGCATCCTGAGGCCTGAAGTAGAAGAGTAAAGCAGGCTCGAGGTCTCAGGCTGCGCGGCGTCAGGATTTCAAGTGGGGAGGCCATCCCTAAAACTAAGGCTGCCTCTACTTATCCTCTGTAGCAAAATGGCTTTGCCGATACCCTATAATACTACGAGTCATGTCTTTGCGTTTGTCCGGGCTCCTTCTGGGATGCTTCTGAAGTCCTTCTGACGTCCATCTGACATCTTCTTGAAATCTTCTGAGGTGCTTCTGAGGTCATGAGCCACCGACGCCCCCCCCCCCCAATAGAAACCCCCCCTGGCTTTGCACTAATCAGCATTCGCATTGACAAATAGTTTTTTCGAACGGCAACTTAGTCGTTGATCATGACTTCGATAAACAAACCGAAAGAGACATCAATACAGAAACGAAGATACGTGTATGCATATGATGACGAGCTAACAACATACACAAACTGCCGCAGGGCGTCTGCGTGTGGGCCGCGGCATTGCATGACCACACAGGTCCCAGGCTGCAACCTCGCATGGACAGTGTTCCGGAAAACCTTCTTGTCCTCCTGCACCGAAACTGAGTAAGCAAAATTCAACCATTTCTCTCAACACTGCGACAGCTGATACCGGGTTCTCTCTTGGCTACAAACTGGTCCAAGCGCTACCGGTCCTGAGAAGCAGCTGGCCCAGGTGGGTAAGCCACGAAGCTTCCCTCGGGAATGTTGGACGCCGGCCCCTGGCTCCGACAAAACGTGCCCCCTAAAGAAATGCGCAAACGGCGGAAGAGGTTGGATACCTATCTTTTGGCCCTAGCACCTGGCAAAAACGGCCGTTGCTGAGCTGAGCACCTGCCAAGCCTGTGGGGCACGTGCGTGGACGATGATGCGGGGGGTGTCGGTGTATTCCACCGGAACGGCCTAGGAGCAAAAAGACGGAGGAAGCTGGACACTGAGACAGCCCAACACTTCATTTCGTGAGGAGCCGATCGGCTCCAGCGAATAAAATTGTGCAGCTCAGGCTCAGTGCACACCAAAGGATGGTCCTTGCCGAACAGAACAGGTGACTCCCACAGAAACAAATGACCTTACAAAAACCATGTTTCAACGTCGCGACACATGACGACGCAACATCGAGACATGCGCGCTTGAACTTTTGTGTCATTTCGTGGGTATTCGTCCTCTCGCACCTGTTGAATTTGCTGGTTTTGAGGCACCCGAAATCATCCGGCTGTGAAACCTTCACGAATACCACGATACTCAAACTCGCTGGTTGCGACACCTTCCCAACACGCTGGTACTTGAACCCGCCGCTTGCCAAAGCCTCGCTTTTCCTCGCAAAACCGTGCAGCTCGAGTTCGCCGGCTGGGACACCCTGAATGCATCTGATCGCCGACTGCGACGAGCTGGCAAGTACCATGGTAATTATTCGACGTCGCCCCGGAATCCCTCACAAACAATGCAAACTCCCAAAGCCGCAGCTTTGTCGTCCAACAGATGAGCCGTTGTGGAGTCAGCTGGGGAACTGGACACAGTCGTTTCGCCCAACAATGAAGCCACCAGCCCACACAAACCGAACAGCTCGCCGACCTCGCGTGGTTCGCGAAGTCGCGAAGCATGGCGGCGGCTTCAGTTGCAAACATGACGGGACCTGCTTGCTCCTTACAGCATCATTGGCAGACCACCTTTTCGCTGCAGGTCACTCCTGGCATTCACTATTAGCTCTTCCGATGAGCAAGTGGGGCAAGTCAGTCAAGTGCGGCAACAAATTCGCTCTTCTGGCTCTTCCGGAACGGCAAGCGCGGCGATGAACGCTAGTGGTTGCCGTGGGCGCTCGCAATGCATGCAACGCAAAGGACAACAAGGTAGTGCGAAATGATATCAGAAGGACCGTTTTGTGCTCGAAATTTCCCCATCTGCCTTGGAAGCCAGGCCAGGCACCGCTGCCAGAGCCTCACAGACTCTCACAATCCTCAAGATAAACTGTGATAGAAACAAGCGCTCAATATGGCTCAATCTTGTCATTACATACATGTCATGAAGTGCCATTACATGTCATTGCTATTCATTATCACTATTGATTTAGTGCCGCCTGGAATATCGTCATCGCTGCAGGTGCTGCCTCAAGGGGAACTTCGGAACCGACAGCGAAACCTCCTGGCGCCGGGGCTGTGGCGTCCACGAAAGTGTGCACAGCTACCTCGGCAGATGAAGCTGTTGTTTAACAGTCACATACCGCTTTTGCAACTCAGTCGAAACACAGCTGAGCATTCTCGGAGCTCGATCTCCAGCTTTTGCGCCAGCTTCCATGACATCCTGAGCTCTGCCCGAGCAACAAAAACAACGGGACAAGACGGAGACACAGCTCGAAGCACGTCAAAGCAACTTCAATCCTGTGAGAGTTTCTTGCTAACGGGTGGCGTGGATTTGCTGACGAAGTACCCAGTAGACCTGGCTGGGAAGAATTAGGGTCTACCTTGGTGCCCGAGTATAGACGAACATGGTGCGATCGAACCTAAACAACCCCGAATCACAGTGCCAAGCATATCTAACCAAGCTGAGGCACCAGTCTTTGCTGACATCTACCCATTCAGGTCCACTCCGCGCCAAAACACGCAGAGGCCGTCTGTTGTCATTCGAGGCGTTTGGCACAAAGCACACCTCGCGGTACCCGCTTTCGGTGCAAGTTATTCTGCTGCGTCACAGGCCAGATACTGCTAGATTGCCACAGTTTGCCACGATAAAGCATGTTGCATTGCATGTCTTTGCCGCTTGTTCCAAATTGCGACCTCGAACTCGGCTGCTTTCTTCCCGATTGAAAGTGCTCGGACCACGTGCCATGCAGCCTGGACTGGGATCAAGTGAGGGGTCAAAGAAGATGCGAGGAGGTGGTTACCAGGAATGGCTGCTGGAGAAACGCGCAGTCCTGTGATGAAAAAGGAAGCAACTCCACCATCGCTCCGTTTTCCAGCTCCTGGGAAAAACAAAGCTCTCCGAGGTATCTTCTGTGGAAGCAACCGAGAGACGTCCTGCGACACCAGGCCCGCAAACTTTTCTGCGCTGCCTCAGCCCGCATCATCTGAAGCATGCTTTCAACGTGCCTTGGAATCACTTGACTCTCGCGGACAAAGCCAACGCAATGCAATAAACTATTCTGCGTCTTGCCGATTCGTGTCTATGCCTATGCCCCGGAACTCTTACGAAGTCTCGTTCGCACATCAAGCTGCTTTGTGAAGCATTTGCACCAGGTGGATGCAAACGTTTGTAGCGCGAGTCCTGTTCGACTATGTCAAGCAGGGAAACTGGACCTTAAAACTCTAAAAAGCCTGCTGAAGAGTGGGCCTCCTGCATCATTGCGGCACTTGCATCTGCCAAAGCGCGACCACGCAACCGGAGAACCTGGACTGACCTGCTGATGTCATGGACAGGTTGTACCGTGCAAGGCCCTGACTGACCACTTGCCTGGCCTGCACGTGACAAAGCTAGCAATTTTTGACCAATGGGAACATCTGCAGGCGCAAAACATGCCCCGCAATCTTTGTAGCACGTGCTCTTCGCTGGATACGCTCGATCTGTTCTGCAAGCTGTTGGACAACTTCCACGGAAACTTCAACAAAGCCAGTTGAAGATGCAAATATGAAGTAGAGCTCAGACTCAGTGGAGCCTTCTAACTGAAACTTTCAGAGCCCTCGGCCATCTAGCCGGGAGTTCATTTCCTGCAAGCCCAGTCTCCACACAGTCTACGAACAGTGCAAGAATGCTGGGAGCACTTTCCGTGGCAACCCCGACCGCTTGTGAAGCTGCGTTATGGTTAAAGCTCCTCGTTACTCCTCCTGGTTACACCTCCTGGCCCTTGAGCAAACCTTCTCAAAGCCCAGGCCGCATACACAGCGCAATCGAACACAAGAGTCCAGTGTGCAGAAGGCTTGTGCAAGAAGTCGGAAGCAATCTGCTCATAACCCATCTGAAAACACCGCAATGCTCCGCAGCCTTGATGCTCAAGAGAGCTCGCGCTCGGTACAGTTTGTAGAACTTACACCCAAGTTCCAAGAAATTTCAAGTCCATTCCTTTCCACATACCTCAGGGTGACCTTCCGCAATTGTGCCTTTTCCACGGCAGCAGGCATCGTCATTAATCTTGGGGATGCTTTGCAGCCTCCTACTGGGATGCAACGGCTAACGCAAAACTTCTACTGAAATTCATTTTCGAAAGGAAGCAAACAAACCCATAGCAGTTGCCATCAGACCGTACCCAATGTGGGAAGCCGCCATTAAGCGAGCACTTCAGAACTCGCAAATTGGGCGCAGGATGTCTTTGATGCGCCAATGGCCAATTCTCAGGGGTGTTCCCTGGTCCGTAATTGCCCGGCGCCCCCCTGCACTGCGCTATCGCACAGTGGCACGCCCTACAAACTGAGGGCTGGGCCCTCCGGATTGCTAAGCATCCGTGCATGCATTAATTTCCGACCTATGTAGGCGGTGATATTAGGGTGATTTTTTCCGGCCCCTGCGGCGCCCCCTCCTGAAACCGCTCTATATCTCAGGTGACAGCATGTGACAACATGTGATACTACATTGGACAAGAAATGCGGAAACAGTCGCACGGAGACGTTCATGAAGACACCGCAGTGCCAGTCTTTACAGTAGGTCAGCATCCAGTACTTCTCGTCTTCTGGAGCCTGACTCGTGACCTCAGTTTCGTGATTGCACAGGTTTGCACAACCTCCGCCATCACAAGCCAACGACTCTTGCCAAGCAGGCGACCGAGGCGACCGATTCTTTACCAAATGATATGGAAGCGAAGCGTCCTGACATCAGCACACCTGGTCGCAGGGTAGCAGCCGAACTTGACATTGTGCCAAGTGTGCTAAGCTTTAGGTTGCTCAGCCTGCCTTCACCACCTGGGCGAGGCGATGTCCTTTGCAGGATGCTGCGGCCCTCCAAAGCGCCTCTCACGCACAGAAACCGAGAAGTGTCAAACGTCTGCATATTGGAGAGGCCGCTGAAAAGATCTGCAAACTGTGTACATTCGTGTGGGAAGCCTCTGTTCTGAAGAGCTTCGGTGACCATTGTTGTGAAGAGTTCTTTGGGTCACCGATTTCGATGTCAATGAGGGGGATGCTCCATGTCGACAAACAGCCCCCCAAATTCCACGCATGCTTTTCAAGTTCCTGATTTGTGTTGGAAGGGGTGAGGTGGGGGTGCGGTGGGAGTGCGGTGGGAGTGTGGTGGGGGTGCGGTGGGGGTGCAGTGGGGGTGCGTTGGGAGTGTGGTGGGGGTGCGGTGGGGGTGCGGTCTGGGTGGTGGGGGTGCAAATCCGGCGGACTTTTACCCCCACCCCACGCACCGCACCCCTGTCACACCTCCCACACCCCTGCACTTCAAAAAGTTGTGCATCATACTTGGCGGCACCGTATCTAGCCGTGCCCAACAAACTTTCTAGACAGCAGAACAATGAATGAATGCTGCAACGAGTGAGATCATGCGAGTGGGGCTCATGCGAGTGATAGGGATGGGCCTTCGTCTCCTTCCCGGCTCCGAGGTCCTCCCAGGCTGTCACTCGTGTTGTCTTTCTTCACACTGTTCTGTGCTCTCAATGTTCCATAAATGTTCCACAAATAGCCTCCTGGTGAATGTGTCTAGGGACAGTCACCTGCCGAAATGCTGCAAGCTGCCAACGGCTGTGCAATCAAGTAATACAAAAACTGTGAAGACTCGGCCTGAAGCTTCTCTCTGCCATGGGAGCCTGGTGCTTTCCAAAAAGTCTTGCTTTGGCTTGGCATTCGCCATTTACATCGCTTCCGTGACTTCCGTGTTGCTGTGCCGACCGGGCTTGGGGCTGAATGGGATATCCTCCCACTCACTAGGAGCTGTTGTGTAGAGCAAACGTCCACTCCACCCATCCTGGTGTCATTGCATTATTATACCGCATGATGTTGCCGCTGCCTTGCTGCCGAAAAAATGTAACAGCATGCCGCAGTGTCCTGTTTTAGGAAAGCCAGCGTTTGACGAAGACGCTCAAGTGGCACCTTTCCATCTGCCTCCATCGCGAGGCAACATCCGGACACGCGAAAGGGAACACACACGGGAACACGGCCTTCCAGGACACCAATGCCTTCAACACGAGTCGTAAAATTCCACGAAGCCTCGGCCGATCACTTGCTCATCTCATTCCATGTAATATATGTCATGCTGACACCGCAGTTCTTCCCCACCCTGTGTGCACTTCGGACGTCTAAGAATGGGACAGTGACTGCTGGGGCATGTGCGTCATCTCCTTGGATTGCTGGCTCTGCTGGTAGCGATCTTGAGTTCATGTCGACTCTGCGCCTACATGTGGTACCTACCTCTGCATCCATGGCTTGGTCCCATAGTCATGTTGGTCGCACATCTTTGTCATCCTTTGCCTGCTGTACTTGTGCCCACTCAGTGTGTTCACTGCGCCTACTCAAGATGTAGCCCAATCTCCGCACCACTCTCCTTGGGTTCAAGGCCTGTTGCAAAGTCTGCTGAACTGACTGCTGCACCACTTCATGCTCCTTTCCTGAAGGTGGTGTACATCGTTCTGAGGGAGTCTAGAATGGCTGAACGAAGAAATCTTCCCCTGAACCTCAGTCAAACAAGAAACTTCGGATAAATGCAGAGGTCATTCAAACTCCGTATGACAATGAATGGACAGGCCCAGGGTCGTTTATAGACAGAATGGCAGTGGTCTTATTGCCGGGCGGCACGTAACTCCTGGGACGTTGCGATCTCGCGATCTCCGCACAGCCTCCTGTAGTTTGAAGCTTGAGTGAAACCGCGCCTCGTCTCAGCGATGTACTCCTCCATGCTGAGGTTTCCCCTGGAAGACTCTACACGCAACAGCTGAGTCAACTGCAACCCTGTCCCTGTATCTGCTTGGCAACGGGAATGCGACTGCCTGAAATTGTCGTTCCCTCCGATGATCAGGAACGTAACAGCCGAGTCTGGCCAAAAAACTGGAGACGGCAAGTTCATGGCCTCACAGCACATGGAGTTTGGCGCTCAACGATAACAGCAAGGCAAAGGCACAAAGTAACATCCTGCAACCTCAGGATACCTCAGGCAGAAGCACATCCGCCGTTGATAACCACAGCCTCAGTGCTAGCGCTTCTGGAATCCAATCGCGTGAAACTAAACCACGAGCCGTGGCGTTGCTGGGACTAGCACCGGGGGCACCGGAGGAACCAGACCCTGTGCCTGGCCAGGAGCCGAGTGACCATACCGAGTGCCCCCACGCATTTGACTCCTTTGCCGAGATTTGCCAAGCCTCGGCCTGCCACATATGTGGAAGCACCTGGACTGTTTTCAAAATGTACTCAAATCACGGTGCAACCGTTCGAACCAAAAACTTCAAAACGATGTTGGAAATCGTTGCACCAACAAGGACGTGCTTTCGCATCTCGTGGTGGGGCCCAGGCTACCTGCCCACCGCGTGAGCCAAAGACCAGGACGTCGGCATTCCGGTGCGCACCGACCTCCAGTACCTGCAGCTTTCAATAATTGCAAAAGCATGCGCAATGCTTTTGCAGAAAAACAGAAAATGAGGGAAAGAGAGAAAGAGAAAGAGAAGGATTTAAAAACAAACAGTCCTCGTCTGCGAAACTCTGCAAATTGGGGGCGTGAGCCCCCTGCGGCCAGCATGGCCTTCGTGTAGCACGATTGAGTATGGCCCCAATGGCCGCCGAAGATTGAAGTGCAAAATCGTAAGACACCGAAACTTGTGCAGAAGAAGTGTCGGATACACATCATACGGTGCCCTCGACCGCCCGATGACGTCCACCTTCCACAAGTCATACTAGCCTCCAGCACTATTGCTTGTTCTTTTGACGGGCGTGCCTTGAATGACGGGCCGCGTGCCAGCTCTGAGTACACCGCCCCGTTAATGCCTGTGCCAGCACCTGCACAACAAACCAGTCCATCACCATTGAGGAAACATTAAACATCAGCAGACACCCAACATGACGCGAAGCATGAACCATAAGGGCAACAGCGGCTAGAGTACATGCAGCCAGAACGTTGGCCTGGAGCCACAACAGCCACACTGATCTTTGATGGCGAGGTGATCGGCTTGGCTTTGACTTTCACTTCCTGTGCTGGTCAAGGTTTGAGAACACGGTACAAAGCCACAACACTTGAATCCAACTCCTGTTTTCTTGACGTGCACATTGGCGACGTTGAAAAAGAAGCCGGCGAAGTGTTGCCGGTCTTCAAGAGCGCAAACAGGCGCTGCTCCTGATCGCCCGTGGCCCCCAAAGCAATCTGCAATCACTTGCAAAGCAAAAGCTGATTCTAATGATTCTGAGCCCATGGCGGCCGAGCTGACCCAGTCCCGGTGGTTAACCAAAGGAGTTAAATGAAAGGCAGGCATGGCCTTGGTTTCCAGTTCCACGAAAGTCGTAAAACTTGTTATCACACATCATGCCCACGTGCCCTCAGTGTGCGACTTCCTTGCCTCGAAGCTCGCCGCCAGCCGCGACAGCCAGAATGTAGACACGCGGCGATCTAAATGTCTCGATGTGTGTGCTTTAGAAATTGCTGTGCCTGTGCGGCTATAATGCTTACATTAACATCCACAAATACAGAACATCATGTGTTCCACCGATGGACTTTCCTTGTGGGGGCAGCTTGGCAACGAGAAGATATCGAAGCACAGAATCAAACACTCACAAAAAAAACACAGCGCGCTCGCAAAAAAAATTGCGCAACATTGGGGCAACAGAAACCCCGTGCCGTCCCCCCACGAAGGCTTGGTAAGTCAGTAGCGGACCTCCTTCCCCCGACTCCCTGACCTTTGGCTACCATAAAACTGGCTCTTACTGCGTGCATTCCAGTGCAGGTTGCAGCGCCCAGCGCTAAACCCTAAACCCTAAGCCCTAAACCCGAAACCTTTGAGATGAGAGGCAAGCCGGCAGCAAGGAGGGGAGATCGGGAGTCTTTCCAGCATCTGAGGCACTGTTGATGGATTGGTTCTTTTTGTACCGTTGGGGTGTAGAAGTCGTCGTAGTAGTAGTAGTAGTAGTAGTAGTAGTAGTAGTAGTAGTAGTAGTAGTAGTAGTAGTAGTAGTAGTAGTAGTAGTAGTAGTAGTAGTAGTAGTAGTAGTAGTATCAGAAGTAGAATCAGAAGTAGTAGTAGTAGTAGTAGTAGTAGTAGTAGTAGTAGTAGTAGTAGTAGTAGTAGTAGTAGTAGTAGTAGTAGTAGTAGTAGTAGTAGTAGTAGTAGTAGTAGTAGTAATAGTAG